CAATTAAAATTCAATACTCTAGGCCATCAGATAGACCCTATATATATATATATATATAGGTCATTCTGATTTGTAGAAAAAAAATGAAAAGTGAAATACTATCGGACAATCGTGACCGTGCCATGAACTTTAAACGGTGATGATGATAGGCAAAATTACTGTTCATTTTCACCTATAGGCGTTTTGTAGTATCTTCCATATATATAAATAAATATATATATATATATATATATAAAAGCTATTTTTATAAGGCCATTTTGAATTTTCTCTCGAACAAGGTGGCAGTCCAATTCGATATGTTTCATCTTTTCATGAAAGACGGGCTTTACTGTAATGTGTAGTGTTGCTCAGTTATCACAATAGAGGATCATGAGTTGCGAATGTCGTATGCCTATGTCAAGAAGAAGATACTTAAGCCAAGTGAGCTCACAAGCAGTGGTAGCCATGGAGCGATATTCTACTTTTGAAGAAGAACGAGATATGATCTTTTGCTTCTTAGTGCACCATAATATAGGACTATTGAAAAGAAAAGTTATATATCTAGTGGTGGAATGCTGGGTCATCTGACAACTCGCTCAATTGAAATCACAAATTGCAGATAATTGCGGGTTGTTGGTGGAGGAAAGTAAAATTCCTTGTGTGAGTGTGTTTTAAATAATGTAAAACACAATGGGCTGCTTCAAGATGACGTGTCCATGTTTGTGTATGAACTGACACAAGATGTGCACAACATAAGTAATGTTGAGCTTGTGATAGTAAGGTTTATGAGTCATCCCACCAGACGATGATATTGTCCTGGATCTGTTAAGAATTGACCTGTATCAATATTAAGTTTGTGATGTTGTTCCATGGGGAAGGATATTGGCTTGCTACTAAGGTAACCACTTTCAAACAAAATGTCCAAGGCGTATTTCCTCTGAGTGAGAAGGATCCCTCTAGTGGATCGTGCGACCTCGATGCCAAGAAAATATTTTAGCAATCCCAAATTTTTGAAATGAAACTAAGATTGCAAAAATGCTTCCAATGAGGAAATTGCATTGGCATCATTGCCAGTGACAATCACATAATCAACATTAACTATAACTGTTGTAAAAGAGTGACTGACATTAGATGTGAACAGAGAATAGTCCACAATGGATTCAAACATGGAGAGCTTGGGAAATTTTGTCAAACCAATTTTGAGAGGCAAGTTTAAGGCCATACATAAACTTTTGCAATCGGCAAACTAGATGCTCCCCCTTACGAGGATGACCCGGTGGAAGTTCCATGTATACTTCTTCATGCAAAAACGCATTATTGACATCTAATTGATGCAATTTCCAGCCCTTTGCATCAATTTTGGCTAAAAGACATCCCACAATAACTAACTTTGCTGCGGGAGCGAATGTATAGTCCAACCCTTCCATTTGGTATAGCCCTTCACGACAAGACATGCTTTGTAGTGATCGCTAGTACCGCCCACTTTGTACTTAATCTTGTATACCCATTTACAACCAATGGAGTATTTGCTAGGTGGTAATAATTGAGCAATCCAAGTGTTGTTGATATCAAAAGCCTTAAGCTCAGCTTCCATGGCATCATGCCAGTGGGAGTGTTTGACAGCTTGTGCATAAGTTTGTGGTTCATCATTAGAACAAACGTTTGTAATAAAAACATGGTGAGATGAAAAAAAGTTGGAATCCAAAATAAAATGGGAAATAAAATAGGATTTACCAGGAGAAACAATGTTTGATGGAGGTAGCCTGAGTGAAGCTGCAGTGGTGAGAGACGAGTATGTGTGAGCTTAGGAACACAAATAATCAGTAAGATGAGTGGGACGTTGTCTAACACGTTCCGAACTACACACATGACTAAGAGCGGGATTAGGTGTAGTAGGTATCATGGTTTCGGCTGGCAGGGATGGAACTAGGGTAGGTTACTCATAAGTAGGTGGCACCTTAATATTAGGAGTAGGTAGGTTTAATGATGAAATTTAAAAAATGCCATTGTTCGCAGCAGATGGGAAGGACTGTGGGAATGGTTGAAGTTCCATATTTTTGTCTTGATAAGGGAACACATCTTCACGAAAGATCACAACTCAACTAGTGAAAATGGTCTTCTTTTGCAAGTCAAATAAACGGTAGCATTTCTAACCCAGAGGATATACAACAAAAACACATTTCTTAGACCTCGGAACAAATTTGTGTTATGAATATCACTATTATGAGCATAACAAAGGCACCAAAAACATGTCAGTGGTCATAAGATGGCTAAGTTTTAAACAATACTTCATGTGGAGATTTGTTAGATACTATGGGTGTGGGAATTTTGTTTATCATCTATGCTATAGTTAAAATACATTCACCCCAATATTTAATGGGAAAATGAGCTTGGAAGCGTAAAACACGTTCCACTTCGAGTAAGTGACAATGTTTGCTCTCAACAATGCTATTTTGTTGGGGTGTATGTATGCATGCTCGCTGTTGGAGGATCCCACGTCCTGAAAAATGGTTTGCATGGCATGAGATAAAAACTCAACTCTATTGTCAGTTCGAATTTGTTGAATACGACAATTGAATTGGGTTTGTACCATTTGCAAAAAAACATTTTAAAAATGGTAAGTATCGGATTTGAACCTCATGAAGTAAACTCATGTGCATTGTGAACAGTCATCCGCAATAGTCAAAAAATAATGTGCTCCTGAGTGGGATGGAGTGGAGTATCCACCCCATACATCACAATAGATTAAGTTAAAATGGTATTTAAATTTATTCAAACTAGAAGGAAAAGGTGCTCTAATCTGTTTAACCAAAGTACATGCTTCACAAAAAGAAATAGAACATAGAGACAAGTTTAAATTTGAAAAATGCAAACTAGACATCCGGTACCCAAGAAGGATGCCCCAGCTTCTTATGCCATAACTCAGCAGAATGACTTTGAATGACAGGCAAGATAGTGAGATTATTAGGGACACCGGAAACGAAGTGATATAAACTGTCTCGCACCTTACCGGCTTTACTCATCTTCCTCATGCTCAGGTCCTAAAAGATTCAAAAGGTAGGGAAAAAGATAGCAGCACGGTTCATGGAACTAGTTAATTTTCTTACAAAGCGAAGATTGTAATTAACAGCTGCAACACAAAAAATATTATCTAGGTTAATAGTTGGACTTAAGTTGGATTGGCTTATGTGAGTAATGGAAGTAGTACTACTATTAGGCATGCAAACATGGTTACCATTATGATTTGGAACACAAGTTGATAGCCTAGAAGTGGAACAAGTAAAGTGGTTGGATGCTCCAGAATCAATGATCCATGAGTCATCATTATTTTTGATATGGAGACACAAACTTCAATACCTGCAAAATTTGCAATAGTAGGTTGGGTTTCAACATTCAGTATGAACATCAACTGTTGATATTGGCTCGACGTTAAGGAAGGAAAGTTCATCTTGAATGAACCTGGGACAACTGCACCATTGCTGACGAACTCTACACCCAAACTAGTATTGATGTTATGTCGGCCATGGTTGGCTTATTGCACGACTGAGTAGTGAGCGTGTGGCTAATCCTTGGTCTTGACCCACTAACCCGTAACACTTTGCTTTGATGTGTCGTCGCGACCACAGTGTTCAAAAAATGGACGTGACTTCTTTTCGCCATAGCATCCACTCTTCTCCAAATTTATGAGCCATAAGAACAGCTACTTCTCCTTGCAAGGGTTGACAAATTTGTAGCCCTTTTTGCTGTTCTTCTTGTAGGACTAAGGAGTAAACTTTGCTAATGTTGAGAAGATGGTCCATAGCCAAGATTTGACTCGAATGGTCCCAAAAGAGTCACTCAGTTCTATTAGGATCTGGTACACTTGTTTGAGTTGTTGTTGGGCTTGCATCTCCTTAAACAATCCACAAGTGCACGTAGGAATTTTCGCGTATGAGGCTAGTTCGTCCCAGATGGCCTACATAGAAGTACAGTAACACGCCGCTGAGGACCGCCCTTGCTAGATCGTAGAGAGCTTCCTTTTGAGAATATATATCTTTGGACAATT